AATTGATGAGACGCTCGAGGCCTTCCCCTGTCTCTTATACACATCTAGATGTGTATAAGAGACAGAGTTATACAGTAATATATTAATTTAGCATCAATCAATTATTAGTATGCAGTGGTATATGCATTGAATATGATTGAAATAAATTAATATCAGTGTATGTGGGGAGAGTTATGGACTTTTCAAAGTTGCAAAATATTAATTTTTAATTTGAGTTCTGTTGCTAAATATTATGGTGCCTAAATAATTTACCCAACAGTCTCCTATTTGCAATGCATATCTGATTTTACTCGGAAAATTGGCAACTTGGATTGACTGCATGGTTTATTTGTAAAATATAGAAACTTGTAAAAAAAATGTTATAAATTTAGGTACAGTGCCAGACTCAAATTATATACTGTATTTTTGTTTAATCGTGCTTTCATTAATAATAATAGTTTGAATGAATTGATGTTGTTTCTGAATTGAAGCATCTTAGGGGATACAGGTACAGTATATGCATTATCCATGAGATGGAAATTTTTATTTCTGAATAAAGTAAAGAATAGCATGTATGTGTGTTCAAATTATTATTTTTGTTCAGTATATTTTTATTTCTATAGAATGTATACAATTTGTAAAGATAGATAGATAGAATTGTAATATATATACCGTACTCGCGCGAATAAGCGCCCGGGCTCTTAAAATATTTTTTGCACTTTTTGAGGGGCGCTTATTCAAACGGTGCGCTTATCAAATCAGAGTGGAAATTGAGGGGGCTCTTATGGAAATAGATGATAATCAAGGGGTTCTTAATCTTATGAGAACTTATTAAATTCAAGAGGCACATTTTGAATGAAAAACGATTATACAAGGACATCAGGAAACAGCAAATTACGAATGGTGGTGCGGCCGAAAAGATAATCGTCCAGAGAGCATGGCTTGTCATGACAAGAATGTAATTGTGGGTACAGTATTACATAGCAGAAAAGCAGATAAAATTAGTGGTGGTGGTTAGTTTGTTGGCCATCGGCCGATTGAGATTAGCAGGATGGCATCATATTGCAGGTTTTCTTAAAAACTCAGATGAGAATGTGTTGGGTTATAGAAAAATGTAAGAAGATAAAAGTTGGAAATATACTGTCTGTCCAGGGAGCTCTCATCTGTCCAAGATAAATATCCTCATTTTGATATTGACTAAAGGAGAATGTGATTCCACTCCACACCTTAAATCATGCCAACATCTACAGTCTCGGATTGATTTAATTATTGAGGGGCGTAAATTATTAAGGGGGAGCTTATTCAAACAGGGCGGTTAAAGAAATTTTCACGTTAGGGGCACTTATTCGAGAGGGGTGCTTATTCAAACGGGGCGCTCATTCGCTCGAGTACGGTATTAGTAATAATTACTATATGTTGATCTAAAGGCTGCCTTTGACCGGGACTCTGGAAACTTTATCCGTAGCATTCCCGATAAAATCCTGTCACTAATACTACAAGAACTCTACTCTGATACCATCAGCTGAAATAGCTGACTGGTTTAACTCGCTAGTTGGGTTCGCTAGGGATGTGTACTTGCACCCACTGTTTAATACTTCTGTTGACTTCACCATAAAGCACACCCTTCATGAAGAATTTGCCAAATCTGTCGACCCAACATTAATCTCCAATTTGGAATACGCAGATGTTGTTGCCATAATTGCTGAGACGCTCGAGGCCTTAACAGAAACTCTAGCAGTAAAATGGGTGAAGAAGCAAGAAATCTTAGGCCTCGAGATAAATTGGGCTAAAAATAAACTACAATCTTTTAGTGACTTTCTCGACCATCCAGAAAACACCATTATACCTGGCATTCGGGTTGATGTAGCAATCATTTACTTATCTAGGCAGCATTTTCACCTCCTGCAAATCGAGTCCTGACGTTATCAGACGCATGTCCGTTGGTGATTTTTTTTTCATCATCAACATACATAATTACAAGTACTGTACTGTACAGTGTAGCATATTTTACATTAATAACATTAAATGAATGAATGAATTAATCCATCAATTAAATTATTAATCATATAATCAATTAAATAATTATTAAAATTATAAAGAGACTGATGCTGATGTACTGATGCGTTATGTTTCATTATTAATAATGAGGAACTCAGGCTCTTCAAGACAGTTGATCTTTGATTGCCGAAAATCGCTGATAAAAGATCATGAGAATTTTTTTTGCGCTTCATTTTGACTGAGAAAGCTATATCCCTAGCCTATATCAATATGCTGTCTCTTATACACGTCGGGGAAGACGAGTACATTCCGTCGGGGAATAATTAAAAAAAAAATTAAAAGTAAATGTTTTGACATCTCTGCTCTTTTAGCAACCATATCGCCTTCATTGCGTTCTACTCGGGGTTCTACTATGACAAATACTCGATGGATATCATCATGATGCATGGAATACATCTTGATCGGGGAAGCAACCTCGTGTTTACAGTTTGCAGGCAAAATTTCCAAAATATAGAACTTCACTTTGAATTATAAGCTTTCTGTGATGTTCCCTCCCAGTGACATTGTGTTTTATTAATATATCGTAGTATAATAATGTTACAAATTGGTGGCCTTACAATTTACAGTAAGACATTACTCTTATTCGTAATTTTGTTATTAATAATTCACAATCACATGGATTATGAAAAATCTCGGTTTCGCCATGATTGGAGGATAGTATTGTAATGTAATACGGTGTTTTTTTTTAATAATATAAAATTGAAAACTGATTTGAAAATAAGTTAGTTAGTTGGTTACATTGCATAGGCCTACTCTTTGTTTCTTGTTGTTTTATTCCATCTAGATGTGTATAAGAGACAGAATTTAGGTACAGTGCCAGACTCAAATTATATATTTTTGTTTAATCATGCTTTCATTAATAATAGTTTGAATGAATTGATGTTATGTTTCTGAATTGAAACATCTTAGGAAATACAGGTACAGTATATACATTATCCATGGGATGAACATTTTTATTTCTGAATAAAGTAAAGAAAAGTATGTGTATATTTAGTTTTACATGTATTTATCTCTTTTTATTGTCATTACACAAAAATACCTAAAAAATGAGCTTATATTTACGTTACTTTTGGCATTGTAAAGTAAAATTTCAGCAGCCAAGAAAGTTCTTTCAGTGAAAAGTCATAGAGATAATATATCTTTATGGATAAAGTTGACGAGAATGCCTAGTCGCCTGATTGGACGAGGAGTAGATGACGTCATCAACTTCACTTCAATTCCCATCATGCAGTTGCAAAATGGCAGGAAGTTTGAAATTCAATTTGCACAACACAACAAAAAAGTAGTAGAGAAGCAGCGCGGTGGACAAGAAGGCGTTTGTTATTATAGGCCTAGCCTAGCCTAGAGAGAAGCTTTGTATTGCAGTAAATAAAAGGTAGTTTTCAGGAAGGAATAATTCATGACAATATATACATTTGTGACTGTGAAATATTATGGTTTTGTTGCTAGTTTGGTCTGACCTTTTTATCCTTACAACCAACTCAGTTCAGTGTCACTGCAGCGGTTTGGCCTAACTTGGCTATAGGGCGTAGGCCTAGATTTGAGCGCCGAGGGTGGGCAGTCAGGCTGGCCTAGGGCCTCTGTGTTTAGGCGGCTGACAGACGACCGGGTCCACCTAAGTAGTGTGAACTAGGCCTAATGGGCCCACCCACAGTGTTGCAGTAAAGTAAGGCCTAGGCCTACGTACGTGGGGAAATAATATCCTCCATTGGCCGATGATACTGGAACTGGATCGCTCTAGCCTACCTAGGGCCTAGCCTACTCACTCAGCCATCAAATTTTTTAAAATATCTGTATTTAATATTTCAATGCCTGAACAATGTTACTGTAGGCCTCAAGGCACTAGTCTAGCCTATATCAATATGTATTGAAGTAAGCACTACTCATTTATCTATTCTGTTGTTGTGTTCCCCCCCCCCCCCCATTT